TGAATAGGATTTGAAGTTGAAGAAAGGTCATTAATAAAGGGAAAGTAAAGGACCTTAGGGAACACCAGCATTCACAAGCACGGGACGAGACACAGTCCCATCTACGCTGACGGAGATGCTGCGGTCCTTGAAATACCTCGCTGTCCAGGACATAAGTTTCGAAGGAAAGCTAAACTTGGGTAATTTAACCAGCAGGTATGCGTGTCTGACGCGACCGAAAGCTTTCGGTATATCCAGCGACACTAAATGTGTTTCTCCGTGGCTGTCGAGTATCGCTAACTATGTATGCGAACTGAGCGCCGGATCACTGGTAGAGTGACGGCATCGAAAACCGTACTGACGGTCGCTAAGCATCTTGCTCTGTTCCCGGTGGCGGCGGAGTTGATCATTAATGACTGATTGCATAACCTTCGAAATAACCGACGGGAGAGAGATGGGGCGGTAGTTGTTTGGATCTGAGTGATAGCCGTGTTTGCAGATGGGAAATATTTCTGATATTTTGCATGGAGTTGGAAATACCTCGGAATTGAGGGGGAGGGAGAGAATAAGTGGTGTGGGAGGGGCCAGTTCTGAGGCGCACGTTTTAAGGACGATGGGAGGAATCCCGTCGGGTCAGAGTGGCTTGTTTTGGGTCCAATGATAAGAGGATCTGACGTATCTTTTTGACGGAAATGATTAGTAGGAAAGATTGTTCGCTGTAGGGTATGTGTAGGGTTGAATGGGTTATTCGAGTAGGGTAGAACTGGAAGCAAAATGGGAGACAAACTTCGGCTATTTCAAGCGGGTCGAACATTAAGTTGCCAAATGGTTTAACAATGGGTGGGAGGTTAGCGGAACAGAAGTTAAGGGAAAATGCCTTAGCAAGTGGGCAGAGCGTCGGGCTTTAAAAGGAGCGGTTGCTAACCGCGCTGCTTTGCGCTCAACAAAGTACTCCTTAGCCTTCTGTATGATGGTTGTACAGTTGTTGCGTGTGAACAAGAATCATCGGTGGGAGCGAGAGGAAGTTGAAAGACGCCAGCGGCAGAACGCTGATTTCTTTTTGTGAGCAGCGCGACAACAAGCGTGGTTAAATCATTCTGGAGAAAGAAACCTGTCGGGTTAAGGGAGATAAGGAATAAACAGATGCATGACTTGCAAAAGAACTTAGGAAAATTTCGAAGCCAAGATATTGACATCGGGGGAGAAGCAACAGTCATTCTAGGGGTAGGAAGCCAGAAAGTTACGAAAGCTGCACCAATTAGCGGAACTGTTTCACCAGAAAGTGTCTAGAATTGGGAGGACCAGTGGAACGGATAATTTGGGTAAAAGGCGAAATAAGACAACAGTCCGATGAACCCCGGTGGAGGAATCGCGCCAACATTCGAAAATAATCGTGGGCTGGATGTGAGGACAAGATCGAGGGTATGAGCGTGATCGACAGTACGGTCGAGGATACTGGTGGGGAAATCAACCAGTTGGCGAAGGCTGCTTAATAGGGCAAATGATTCTGCCTTACGCCCAAGGGGTGATGTCCCTGAAGAGTGTTACAGCCAATCCCTGTTATGGACGTTACAATCAACCAAAATTGTGAACTGGGCGTTAGGATCTGTTTGAAAAATGCTATCCAGTTTGCTGATAAAATATCAAAGAGTGAAGAGTAACTACCACTTGGGGAACGGTAGGCAGTGCAGTAATAACTGAAAGAAGGGAACCGAAATTTCAGTCACATAGTCTGGAGCTGGCGGTTAGTGAGATTTAAGTGGGAGAACGGGGTAGAAGCAATGGAATTATGGATAAAAACACAAATACTAGCTTTTGGGATGAATGAAATAAAAATTAAATGTCTTTAAATGTCTTTTTACTTCCCTTTTCTATTTATTGAATATACAAATGTACAGGCAGTTTTCAGGAATGGGGCTGCGGTCATACAAAGTCTGCCTGAGGAAAATATAGATAAAGGGAAGATGGGCGGCGGTGGAGCGGTTTGAACCCGGGACACCTAGGTCACTAGTTGGTGACCTAACCACTAGGAAAACTGAAGATGGGTGGTGTCTGTAGAGGAAAGTTTTGTTCTGGATAAAAATAGAGCCAGAGTGGAAAGGGACTGAAGAAATTGACGGACAGAATCAATTCTGCGGCTCAAGCCGCGAATGTTAGCAAGTGCGATTGTCGAGTGAGAGTGCGCTTGAGAAGTGATCCTGTTAGTTGTTGTATTCATAGTGAGATGAAAGTTAGGCATTGGTACTGACCCGAACGACAGTGGAACCATCCACCGCTGACAACTGCATGTTTGTATTCCGATAGCAGTTTCTTTAGCATTCATGATACAAAAACACTGTATGTGGAATCTAGACATCACAGCTCAGCTGGATATCGTCGTAGACAATTTGTGTTTGTGTTACTACATGAGAAAGTTGATAAAGCACAATCCCAATCGACTTTTAAAAACATTTGCCCTGAGCTTTGCTCATAGAAATGACGAAGTTAGTAGACACAATAAACACCGCTAACGCTCGCGTTTAACCATAAGCAGAAAGTACTTACTTGAGACAGGCGCAAATAAACGCCTTGAATTTGGCTTTCTCCAAGGTCACATTGGTGAGAGCTTTGACTTGCGACACGGCATCGTTCAGGATGTAGTAAGTGACTCCGGTCAAATGGGGACCTGTGTATGTACATGGCGAATTAAAACATGAGTCTTTTGTTGTCCGTGAGAAATAATGATTGATGACATGCAAAACAGCATCCTCTACGGTCCAAATGGTGATTGGGATATGAATGACGAAACACAGAGATAACCGTCCATTCCGAAAGTTGTCAATTCTAGTGGTTTTCTACATGATCGTAAGAATTTCAAATGGTAACCGTTGCACCTCCTGGTTCGCTTTTATCGGACTACAAAATTGCGATTCTTCTACTTTGAAGCTCATTCTAACGACCATCTTACTAGGGTCTGAAAATCCGCGATACACTGCAACATAAGTCGATATTTTTGGTACATGCTGTTAGAAAGGACTAACATTTTGCATTTATATTGATGGTTAGCGTTCTGGGATATCATTGAATCGCGTCATTGCAGTAATCTTACATAGCATCAAATAGAGGCTATGAGGAAAAGTGCGCGGAGTGAGAGAACACCTTTTCGTACACTTTCATCAAACACAGCCTTTCAGAGGGCCACAGATTATAAATATTTAATCGGGAGAAGGACCATATGGCTGCTTCAAACAATGATGGTGGGAATCTTCACAAGACAGGCTAACAGTATAGCTAAGGGCATTGCAAAGATCCGGTCAGAATGGAAACGGATAAAACAGGATTCATCGGGGTTTGTACTAACCCTATTGAGGAATATATATATTTATATATATTTTGTTAGTTTCACCGTACAAATTTTGATGTCTATTTGTCACAAACAAACCTCACAACAAACGTGCCAGACTTCTTTTCTGAACCTTATCTCTTAGCATCTTTAACCATCGGCAATCCTCATCCCTTCGGTCCCAATCTGGAAGGTGGGCTGCATCAATCGAAGCCCATACCAAGGCTAACCTCTTCATACCTCCACGCCAGGTCACGGTTTGGCCTTAGCGGCG